GCGTGCATACAGAGTGATTGACGTGTTACTCGAGAGCACTTTTGTTTTTCTACGAAGGCCGTGTTAGGGTAGGCGAAAACATTTTTGCTGGATACATTTTTCATTTCATAAGTAACACAATGGATTAATATAATAGTATGTTGTATCGAGTCGGAGCTGTTGGTTTTATAATGATGTGTATTTTTTTTTTTTTTTTGGCTTACCTAACCCATCCGAAATCGTACGAGATCAATAGGTCAAAAGTTGAAAGAGTCGACTAGCTACTACTTCACCAACAAAAGAGGAAATAAACCGGAAAAAAATGTTGCCAGCTATTCAACCGTCAACTTTGAGACTTGGTAAAAGTCTTGGAAGTCGGACGTTTAGGATTTTTTAGCTGAAAATAACCCTCAAGATAGATCTAACTTTAATCTAAAACACACAAAAATAACAAACCAAATATAAATACAACCCAACACAGTTTAAACGTAACACACTGTAACATATGATACATATGATAGCATGGGTAGTAAAACCTTACATTTTTTTCATAGAACAATAAACGGTTCGGTAATATTTATATCACAACCTACAACGCCCACAACATATGAATCGCTTCATGCAAAAAGGGCCTTAGTCCTTAGCTTTAAACTGTTGGAAAAATGAAAAAAACTTTTGATATGTTTCAAAATGCATAAACATATAAAGGCTTTATCAAAGTTAATAGATATAAACAGTAAAATTACATTCTGTAAAACAATATTTTTATTTTCAAACGCAGTCCAGATTATTAGCATTTAAATATAGTGGACTTAGACCCTTTTTACAAAAACTGATAATTTTCTTAGTAATTTCTGGTCATGGGACTTATTTTTTTTTTTTTTAACATGAATCGATGCGTCTAAGTAGAGTGATAACGAATCTGTAATAATCACGTTTTTGATCAAATGGTGACTTAGACCCATTTTGCACGAAGCGATTCATATTATGTTGCACGATGCAATCTATCTCTTATCACTTATACAAATTAAAAAAAAAAAATCTAGTTGTTTTCTCAGCACTACGGAAAAACATTGAATCACGGATAATATGTTATCTATTAAAACTTAGTTCTTATCACATCTCTTCTATTATTTATCTCTTCTTCCTTATCGTTTATCGTCTATCACTTATCTTTAATCTCTCATCATTTATCATTTATCACGTGAAAGCCAAAGTGTAAAGCGAAAAGTGGTGACATGAAATTTCTTGTATCCAACATAGATACCAATTTGAATGTCGTCTAATCACAATAATAGTACACTCGGGACAGTCACTGTGTTGTAGCTCCATACACGGTCCCTGTCGGTAGTGGACAGACGACTGTCTAGACAAAGAGCCGGCAAACCCTCCCCTAACAGGGTGTATAATATAGAACTTCAGTGTGTGTGTGGTGTGTGTATACAATACAACGGACAACCCCGAGTGGGCGGCAAGAAAGCAAAAAGGGTATCTCGCCTACATTCGTATGAATATCCGTCATTTTGGTAGTGTGGTAAAAAAAGGGACGGGATCGAGTCCATTAATAACATAACGGCGGCCTCGCGGTCGACTCACGGGATATAAATGTATATATATATATATATATATATATATATATATATATAGGTATATATACTATAAACTACATTAGAAGTATACCCGGTTATTTCGCCACCGCAGTGATCGTTATTACTATTATTATATCTGTCAAAAAAAGTTTTTCCCGAAAGTTTATTCATATTTTTAGACCCACTCGAACATCCCCGACGGGGGACGCGTCAGATTTGCATATTGTATTAACAATGCCCCGAGCGATTGAATTGAAAACGGTGAAACCGCGTGCAATCGAAAATTCAACAATAGAATGTTTAAAAAGTACATCGACGCAACAGTTAAAAAATATTGCAAAAAAAAAAACTTAACAAGTGACACAAGCTTATGATGAAACATAAAATACAAAAGCACCAGTTTGAAAAAAAAGTACATGTTTTACAATTATTTAAAAATACTGCGTATTATAACTATTTTTTATTTAAATAGCCGAATGGGTTCCAAATTTGTGTGTAACATTATTTAGATATAGTATGACTTTAACAAAATATTCAAAAAAAAAAAAGAAACTAGTTATTTTCTCAGCTCTACGAAAAAAACATTGAATCGTGGATATGTTATCTATTATAACTTATCTCTTCTCTCCTATCATTTATTTCTTCTCTCTTATCGTTTATCTATTATCATTTATCACTTATCTCTTATCAAGTGAAAGTGAAAGCGTAACGTGAAAATAGCGACACGAAATTTCTTTTATCCTGCCCAATAACATATTAATGTTAAAAAATGCCATAAATCATCTCCCTCAGAAGCGCTAGAAACATTTTCTAATTTCGGTTTTTTTAGTGTTGTTTTAGAGTTTAATGTCTGAAAATTAGACAGAAGGCAGATCTAATAAATGGGGTTACTACATATTTTATAAATGTCTCAAAAATATGTTTTCAATTACTAATGTTTTGACCGAATCATTTGCGACCACAATGTTTTTCACCCGAAAAATAAAACTACCCCAGACTGGATTCGACTGGTCTTCTACTCTTAACCCGTCAAACGGCCGTAGGGTAAAGGTTATCGAATTTATCGCATCTTTTATATTTTTAACGTCCGGTAATAGAAACGAAAAGCCGGACGTCGATTTGGCTTATTACTACTCGGGCACTCGGGATCGATTTCAACTTTAAAAGCCAAACCCTGGACCACCGAGTCGGACCACTTGAAAGTGGACCGTTTCGCTTTCCGGGTCCCGCGGCAAGAGAGGATGGCAGAGACTATTCAAAAGAAAAGAAAAACTATTAGTATTTCAATTTTGCAGTCAAAACAGAATACTCCAAAGCCGGCCGGGAAACCTCTCTTTAGAAAACCCCTTTACCGAGTACCGTCCGGGTTCGGAATACAAATGGTGAATTTATCTAATGACCGAACGAACGACATGGAATTAGGTCACCGTACGGTTTGAGACTCGAACAGTCGATAAAAAAACATTATTTTCTTTCAAGTGCCCACAAGTGTCCCTCTTTCGACCCTCGAAGAGATAGCGCGACGCAACAGGGTGGAAAAAAAAAATCGAAACCGCTGTTGTTGTTTCGCCCTTTGACCATCAATCGGTTTTGATAATATAATATTATGCACATACATAAACAAGCCGTATAAACCTTATATGTATACTGCGGCGATATATTATCGTAAAATAAACTACTTCAAATGCGATGCAAAGCGGAAAGAAAACAACTTCCGAGAAAAACGCGATAAATATTTATTAAATTCGTGTAAGACCGCCTTTTGAATATGAAAACTTTCATCTATCCGAAAATTGTTTATTCGGCTATTGCCATCCCCGGCCGAGCAAATCCCGGAAGCGCATAATACATTATAATAATAACAATATATGAAATATTATTATAATAGTGAAACCCTATTGGAATTTCGCAGTATATTTTTATTTGTAGATTTTCAACCAGAAAAATAGCCTTCGAATACAGGGTGATCCGTTCGATGTAAGACAATCATTTTACTATATTTTCCAAAACTTAGAAAATGTTTACCTTCATATTTTATACGCTAAATAAAGTATGTAATTCGTTTTGTCACATGGGGAAAATATCATGTTTTTAATTCCATAAACATGTAGATAAAAACATTTAAAAAAACAAACCCAGTTTTGTATTATAGTCATTGTACCATGGACATGTTATCTCTTATCGCTTATCTTATCTCTTATTTCTAATTTATAACCTCTTATCTCAAGTGTTAGGGTAAAGCGATAATAGCGACTTGAAATTTCTTGTATCCAGCCCAATAACGTATGCACGTTAAAATGTTAGCGTTTGAATTTTTAATTTTCAACAATCTGTTCGGTTACTATGACTTTGTGAAAATTTGAATTTAAGATCAATATTTGTACGGTTTTCACAACAGTAATAATAATATAATACTTCCCGTCGATAACACTGCCATCGTCACTGTGTTTGAATAGATAGATAAGGTCCTCCTCTTGTCTATCAGTACCTGAAAACATTTTATTCTAAGCGGTTACCTTGGTCCGTACTACTTTAACGTATAAGGGATAAAGGTAAACATTTGTTATGTATTGAAAACAAGTACAGGAGAAAACTATTTTCAATATATTTATACTTTCTGAGAAACCGAGTGTTTTACATCGGATAGATCACCCGGTATTATTTAATGGACCGACCCGAAACGTATGTACTTACTTTCAAAGGAAATCGTTCTCCGATCATATTTTATGAATACCGCACGGACGGCGATTAAGCGATTTCGATTTAAGATTTTCACATTAACATTGTATTTTATTACCGTCTGGTTGGGCGGATGCCAATTATTATACTAGTAAAATAAAAAACGAAATCTTCTTGGGAACGTGTCATAACGCCAAAAAAAAAAAAAAATGATTTGGCAAGCCTACGTTAAACGGTTTTATGCGCTACACATTGTAAGATTTCCATAATACAATAAAATATCGCTTTATCACTTTACTTTGTGTTTCTTAACGCTTTCATGAAATATTGTTAAGTATATTTTTTTTTAGTGTAAGATATTAGTATACATGTGTGTCCACGGCAAACCATGTGTTGTTATCATTATACTTGGCGTGCTCGAAAATCATCCGTTTAGGGTGTATTCAGGTCGGCAAAATGTGTCAATCAGAAACGTTCATTTGTTTCAATAACAAAGGCGTAAAAATCAAATATAGCCATTTCCGTACACTCCGGGCTCGTGTGTCAATGCCTATGGCTAAACCTTTCAAAGCCGATCCTGACACAGTGACGGGTCGCTTGAAAAAAGAGACATTGGAAAAATTTGACAGCTTTGTCTGCTAAAGGGTAAACTATGACGAAGATCACATTTTTGGTGTCAAGTTTTTAAATTTGCAAATCAACAATAGTTGATTGATTCCGTTTGTTAAAACAACAAAGCTAATGTATACACACCTGTTAGGTCGGTGGTCACTGGCGACGTTCAGCGGTGTCGGTTTTTCACGGCGATGCGAATCGCAGTTCTTAATGCAAGTTCAACCTCGTCCCCGAGGAAGAGTCGACGTGACATGTATATCCTTCTGCGAAATTCCCGGGATCCTATACAACACAAACAAGGTACAACGAGATTAGTTATGATTAGGATAAAGTGCCTGCACATGAATTATACCCGGTGTAATAGTATTAGAGCGCACGAACACTCGCCTCGTGGTGATTTGAAAATATTATTGCAAAGATGTGTTCGTTAGACGAACCGCCAAACAAATTTTGGCTAAAAGAACACCGTCCTGAGAGTCTTTTGCTTACCTAAAATAGTATTTAGCTTGAACAGATTCTATTGAATAAATTTATAATAATCATAACTATCCGCCGGCCAACTTGTCATACACGCGTCCAGTACCGAAACCTCCAAAACCTTCCTCAACTCAGAGTAACCACCGGTGAAAAAAAAATTCTTTATGAGAAATTACTGTTTCCAGTTTTACAACTAAGCATCGCTGATTTTATTGATTGTCGTCACCGATATGTTATAATAATTATTTGATAGCATATTAGCATAGTAAACTATTTTGTACAATACTTTCATTTCTAGAATGTGGTCACACTGATTCCAGAAGGGTTACAGCTATCAGTAAATGTGATATGATATTAAAAAAAATTAATACCATTGAAAGTTGCCATGCATCGAAAACATTATATTATCATGTTAAATTCATGTTATTGGGCTGGATACGAGAAATTTCATGTCGCCATTTTCGCGTTACACTTTCACTTCCCCGTGATAAGTGATAAATGATAAGCGATAATAAATAAACGATAAGAGATAAATGATAAGAGATAAGTTATAAGAGATAAAGTAGCAATGATTTAATGTTTTTTCCGTGGAGCATTTAAAGTAGTTAGTATTTTTTTCGATGCCATAACCGTTTTTCTTTTTCAAATTGGACTGGACTGGTTTTTACACTCAACCGGATACTTGTTGAAGGAACGTGTACCGGCAAAGGATAGGGTAAAGCACGGTAAAATTATATAAAAAAAAACAGCACTGATCCAGTGCGAGTAATATTAATGTGACCTAAATTGTTTCCGTCGTTTACCCGAATATGTGTACATTATTATGCCCGTTGACGAGACACTTTAAGTTGACGGGTGGCGCACGCGAATTATATTCGTTATTTTTTTTATAATATACTATACGCAGTTCGGTGTTGCTACGAGACAGTTTTTTTTTTTTTTTGTATATTTTTTTCGCGTTTTTAACTTTTAAACACAAAAAAAGTGTTCAAAAAGAAAACCATTGAGCCACCGGTGACCTTTGCGGACTTAACGTTATTGTGCTGTAGATTAGTTTGAGTGTGTTTTGTACAGAGTACGGCGAATGAGGTCAAGATGAAAGGTATTATTAAAAAAAAAAAACATTTAAAAACAATTTTTTTATCGTTCCTTTTTTTTTTTTGTCCTTAACGGGCACACGTGACGTTATATGCATATATTTATTTTTTCCAATGCCAACCAAACTTTTATTTTCATTAAAAGCTAAATATTTGATTGAAAACGTTTTCAACGGCCGTAAGCATATCGTAAATTCGATAAAACGGTATTTATTATATGTTTTATTTGCCAATGACGTCAACGGAATTAATGACCGTCGTCAGGGCGAATTTTCCAGTTTTTCATTTGAGTTTTCATTTTCAGAATATACAGACTGACGTAGTGTGACTTATAATAATTGATTGGGAACATGTTTACTGGAGAGAAATTGCTATTAGGATAGGATAAGTACCTAAAATGTGATCTCCGTAGTTTACTGTTGATCGGATAGTTTATCTCCAAAAATCATCCTCTAGCAGATAATCCTACAATCTAATGGCATTTTTTTTTTCAAGTGACCCAACACAATGACAAGAGTGATCTTGCGAGAGTCAGCCATAGACTTTGGAACAAGCCAGGGCTGTGAGAAAATGCCTCACCTTAATTACCTCACCTTTATTATTGGAGCATATTAATTATTCTGATTGACACTCAAAATGGACAAATTTTGAGAAAAATAACGAAAATTAAATGACAATTATGAATACATTCTTCAATTTCTCAAGCCGTTTGTTTGAAACCAAATTGACTTAATTCGTCATGTTAATCGATGGCTTAGGAATAGTGTGGTAAGTGTTGAAAAACTTTGCCTGGCGCAGATGCTAATACGGATCATGTGTTGTAAATAAATTACTGATGTTTACAACAAGACCAAGAGCGAAATGTGTTAATGAAAAGCAAAACAGATCCGGTCAAACACAGATATTATACTAAATTACAACGCAATTAGGTCAAAGATGTAAAAAATATTTAATTTCCATCTACGAAAATTGGCAAGAATTAAAAACGCTTACATGTGGAAAACGTCATATATTCGCATGAGTCATTTGCTAACAGTGATATCATAAAGATCCTTTTACCCATAGCATACATAAAAAACGTAAATATGTTGTCGACAATTTAACTTAAGAATGTTGTATGAAAATCAATGTGTTTGTTTGTAATGTAACAAGACAAATATTAATAAAACAAGTCAAAAACAAATTTTTGAAAATTTTATATTCCATTTCAAATATTTTTGCTAACGAATTTTTTTCGCTAACACTTTATTTTACGAAGAAAGAAAAGAAAAAACCATTTTTTTTTTTTCATTGAAACAATGAAAAATGGAGTTTTTCAGACGAATCTTGGGTGTTCACGCCTAAGGCCAACAACGGCAGTGTCGGTCGAGCAAGTAGGCGATACAGTTATTATTGTTTTATTCTCAAAGTTTCAGTCCTACAACTAAAACCGTATTCGATGAGAAAACTTCAGCTATTGTACATGAACACTAGCTTACACAGCTCACTAGTCGTTATGCCTTCTTTGTGGAAAATGCAATTTGCCGGCACTAATCGACCGAGTTAGGTTATGTATTACAATTTAATACAATATATTATACTCTTATACACGAGCACGACGGCAACCGTCTCGGTTACCTGGAATCGGACAGCTTTACAAAGGCGTCACTACTTTACTGCATCGTCGCCCGAAAACTTCTTCAATCTCGTTAACGAGTCTTTGTGGTAGGTTTTAATGGAGCACGTCTTGTGGTCGGCAAGAGGTGTGAGCACCAGAGTATGGCAATGCAGTCTGTTTCACAACCGTATTATATTCATCGTCCACAAACTATACCAGCTCTCGATTACTCCCCTCGTTAACGCTGTGATCCATTATTGCATTATCTCCTCTGGGTGCGGTTAGCGCGTTGAAAATTCTGGCGCTTTACAAAAGTCGGGAACGACCGTACGACGATACAGCAAACGAATATTGGTAGCAAAAAAATAGGCAACAATTCTCATAAATTAAAATTATGGAACGACTATCGATGCATTTAGGTACGATCTCCTAAACCATTAAGCTAATTGCGTCATGAAGCAAGCCTATGGATTGAAACTCTTAATTAATTTAGAGCCTAATCTGTAGTGTAACGATAGATTCTCTTCGAAACAATTTTGTGCGAATCAAAAACAATGTGCCTTTGAATCGTTATGAAATCACCAAGTTTTCACTGCAAATAGGTAGAGGAAGACTTTATCTAATTTCATCAATCTCAGTTAATAGTCTTCCCACAGTCCTGTGTGGCACCATCACGGCCCTCGCTTAGTTGCTGGTTTGTTTGTTTTTTTAGTTTTAGTTCGACGTACAAACCTGACGTTGACGTTTGACGAATTAAAAAAATAACGCCAAAGGCGAAAATTCAAACAAAGTGAAATTTGATTACCGTCGTAGGTATAACAATATGCCTGTAGTGTTTATTATTCCAGCAAAAGTCAGCCAAAAGATGTGCAGAGAAAACCCGTTTGACAGAGCACAACGATTCGAAATTATTTTTGCATTGAATTTTGATCATTTGTGGAAATTAAAGTCTACCGTGAAGTTTGCCATCGACACAAACGGTACGAAATAACAAGGCAATATTATTGCGTTTCTTATATTTGGAGACAAGGTGAACTCTTAAATTGCATTTCGCTCCAATACAGTCACCGCGTGTCCCGTTTCAAACAGCATATTATTTTTCAACGAAATTGTTATTTGATGCGCATATTTTCGAGGATTTTTTTTTTGAAACCATTAAATTTATATCTATCGAGAATTAAAAACGATTTACGGGAATCTCATTGTTTGAAAATGACACTTGGTTCCAAGTACGCTCCGGGCAGATTTACCAAATGAAATACTATTGTCGTTTGGAAAATTGAAAATGTATGCTTATCAGCTGTTATCGACCAACGAAATATTAAATACAGCATACAAAACGAAATGGAATAAATTTAGAATTTTTTTAAGTTGGTAGGTAACGTACATTTTTTATACAACCAAAATTTTAATCCACAACGTGTACTTTGTGCATTGAAAATTTGAACATTACAATATAAACATGGATAAAATGTTTTAAGCCTGGGTTTTAACCCAACGGTGATTGGAAACAGCTGATTACGGATGATGATAAGAGATAGCGGATAATGTATTAGTGATAAGAGACAGCTGATTGTATGGCTTTTGACAAGAGACAGTTGGTAAAATATCAGTGACAAATTGTGGGTAGAGTAGGATATTGAAGATAGAGGAAGAGGAGAACTTTGTAGATAAAGTGAAGGTAGGATAGGGTGGGAAATACTGATAAAGTGATGAGAGCGGGGTAGGTAGGAAGAAGTAAGGAGGATATTTCACAATGCTATAAGACTTAATTAATTATTTTGAACCATTGTAATTAATAATTTAAAAAAAAAGCCCAAAATGACATCCTGTTATTTAAAATATTAAAACTCGAAAAATTCTATCTTACAAACATTTTTTGGAGAAGTTCTGAGAGGTTATGACAGTGTGTAGTATTTTTGTTTGCGTCCCAACGCATGTGTGCCACACAAAAATAATCTAGTCATAAAAAAAATTAGGTTTTTTTATTCATGTATTATTTTTTTTGCATTATATTACAATATATAAAATGTTTCTAGTTCGCTTGGCTTTACAATTGTAAACCTAGGTAAAGAAATCCTGAAAAAGTTAATTGATGAGTCTATTTTCGA